TTGTGGAGGTTTCAGAGAGAAGAGGATAGATTGTGCAGGAGAGTTGTGGAGGTTCGTTGGGGGGATGTGGTGGGGTGAGGATCCCATTAGGGTATGATGAGATTATATGGGATAGGGCCTTGGAGAAAAATTGACATGGGTAACCAAAAATTCCAGGAATGCATAAAATGGAAGATAGGGAAGGGGGATAAATTTTGTTGTGGGAGGACGATTGGATTGGATCAGATTGGATTAAAATCTTTTTTCAAGGATCTACGCAATTGCTAGGTCTAAAAATATAGTGGTGGAAGAAACATGCACTGGTGAGAATGATAATATAGAATGGACTATGAATGTTATGAGGAATCTCAATGCTACATCTATTATCAAATATACAGTTTAATAATACAAATGATAAGAGCTTGTGGAAATTGAAGAAAAATGGTGAATGGGTGTTACCTATGCAAAAGAGACCTGGAATCATGTAATTGCATTTTCTTTTGGTGCCCGATGGTGTATAACATATGGACTTCAGTATATGGTCTACTGGGTCATTGGAAGGTTGACGAGGGAGGAGCTTTGGGCATGGGAGGGTTTTTGTAAAAGGAAAAATTACCTTAAAATTATTTCTTTAATTATCTTTTGGGAGAGAGAGAGGGAGATGTCAAAGGTTAGAGATAAATGGCTACACACATTTGGGTCGGTTATTTTGGGCCATAATATTTAGAAATGTTATTGATACACTAATTGATTTGTAAATAACTTGTACGGGGGAGGCACCCCTTTTGGTGCCATTACTTAATATTATTCTTTCTTTTGATCTCAAAAAAAAAAAAAAAAAAAAAAAATTAAAAGCGATTTGCCTTGGGCAGATTTATTTATTAGATTGTGGAGTTATTGACATTCCTAAGCTCCTTGAAAGTTGCGGGAACCTTGTAAAATTCCTTTGTACTAAGTTTACCTTTTATAATGCTATTTACAGGAAATAAGCTCCCAGATTTTTCTAAAAGTGAAAACAAGAGTTCTCGAGCAATCAAAGGCGCACCACTTGGATCTCTTTTTGCACAGTTTTGTTTGCATGCCCTATGGTTTGGCAACTGCAGTATACGTGGTATGGAGCCGAAATGGTTATGCATTGTATGAATGATTGAATTTGTTAAAGAATGTCGTTTATCAGTCATATATGAACAATTAGTTCAGGGAGCATCATTTTCAAGTGAAATACAATTTCATCTTTCTGATTATAGTTTCTCCTTTTAACATTTTATGATAGCTATTGCCGTTCTCTGGTTAGAGTTTGTTCGAGAAGTTCGTTGGTGTTGGGAAGAGTGTCAGTCATTGCCGAAAATGCCTTTTGATGGTTCAATTGACCTGTCTACTTGTTTGATTAACCAGAAGCTGCATATGGTAATAAGCTGATGTCATCTTTTAAATATGTTTATTGCTTTCAGTTTTATTCTTTTCAAATATGTTTCTGCAGACTTGATTAATATTCAAAAATGCCTTTTGATGGTTCAGTCGACCTGCCTACTTGTTTGATTAACCAGAAGCTGCGTGTTGGTAATAAGTTAATGACATTCTTTTAAATAATGTGTCCATCTGTTTATCTGCACAGAAGAAAGTTAGGCCTCTAATATATTTTTTTACAAGTTAATAGTTTGCCTATGAGCTGTCATGTAACTTTTTACTCATTCGTCAAAACATTATTGCTTTGACACGGGGCTTATTTATGTGTTTAGGGAATGTAAACGTGAAACTGTTTGCATTTATTATCTCTTGAGATCTCAAGAAGGTTGATACAAAATAGAATAACTAATTATATCTTAGCTCTTGTACTTAAAAATACCTTTATATTCATGCATAATGAACTCTTTGTTGATCATGCTGTGATGTATGAGTAGGAAAACTCCCGTTTCTTAGTCATCCTTGAGTTTGTTCTTGACAAAAGAGATGGGCATTCTTAAGGACTAAGCTTCCTATTTCAAGCATGACTTCCTTTGAGATTCCTTAGAGATTGGCACCGAGCAGGTGTCTTTTTGTTCCATGCCCTATGACCTTTTTAACTATTCTTTCTTCCCCAATTTAGATGGAAGTTTCACATGGCCTTTTGGGTGTCTGTAATATGCTGACTGCACAGCAGGTTTGCTGCTTGCACAAGCTTTATTATGCTTTTAACAAAAACAAGTGTCCTTTTTGGTTATACCATCTTAATTACAATAAATTTTGTAATTAGACAGTTAAATTATTTATAAGAAAAGTTAGTAGACTTTTAGTTAGATGATTTTGATTTTAGTAAATTTTTTTAGTTAAGCAGTTAATATTTTTTTTAAGTGGGTAGATACTAGAATTTTTAGTTAGACAAGTTTATTTAAACCGTTAGTAAAATTTTTACAATATGATTTTGACAAGACAGTTTTAATTTCAGTTAATTTTGAACTGATACAATTGCATCATTGTTGTTTTTAACTATATCATTTCATTTAAAGTAGAATATTTAGTTAAAAAAATATTAAAAAATTTTAAGTACTCATACAATTTTGATATGTCAATTTTCATTTTCATTTTATGCTAGTTTTTTTATCTTAGTAAAAATTTTAATTAGAAAGTTAGTAATACTTATAATCATGTATTTTTATTTTAATAAAATTTTATGTACTTTAAATATAACTCTTACTTCATCCTAATCAAATTCTAATATGAATAAATTAGATTTTTTTAAGAAAAATATAACTATCACCTAATCTTGATACGAAATAAATTATAAAATTTAAATTAAAAATTTCTTATACCTGAATAATAGAAAGTAAATATAAGAGTTGTGAATTATTTGTTTTAAAAAAATGTATATTTTTAAAGACTTCTTTTGCCTTTCAAAATTTGTTTAATTTTTGTTGTGGCATTTTTAATTAGACAATTCAACAATTAATAGAATTTAAATTAAATAGTAGAATGGTGAGGTGTATAATTTTAGTTAGACAATTAGTAGAATTTTTAAGTGCATCAATTTTTCATTGAAGTTTTTTTATTAGACATCAGTAGAATTTTGAATTAAACAGTAGAATTACTCTATGTATAATCCTTAACTAGACTTTAGTAGAATTTTGAAGTGTGACAATTTTAATTTCAGTAAAGTCTTTACTTAAGGCTTTCTTTTTTGGCAACCTACTCTAGGGGAACTTTCCTTTTTTTATTTCTTGAAAGGTAAATACTAATTATGGATGAAATTAGGAATAAATCTTAAACAGATCCAGAGTTTCCAAAACTAAACAAATTTACCTAAATAAAGCCTTAAAAATGCATAGAGATTTGCAGCAAAACAAAGCGAAAAAATTTTCCAGCTCTAGCAGCTTCTTTGTCTTATGAAATGGCTTCTTGCATACTCTTCATGATAACTTCATAGGCACTGCTTACCTCCTCAACGGAGATAAAAAGGCAGCATCTCAAAGTTTAGCATAATGGCTTCAATATAAAGCTCACTAAATATCAAAAGCAAAGACAGCAGCCTCTCAAGAACTAACAGCAGCTGCACACAAACAAAAGCATAGCTTGAAAATGTTGACCCTCTCTAACTACTATGTTTAAGGGCAACTTTCCTCACATTGCATCGTCTTGTCACATATTCTTTAGATATGATAAGATTTCTGAGGTGGCTTGCCAATGCTCCTTTTAATAATTTATGATGCTGAAGGCTCCATCCTTTCACTTTGCTCATTTGCTATTCAGCTTGCAATATGCATTGAGATGAAGCAGGAACTAAATGAAGAGTTTCAAGATTGTATTGGGAGTGAAGATCACATAGAAGCACACAGTGAGGTTATACAAACAGTGTTGTCTTAGTCTATTTCCTCCACTGCAATTTGGATATAATCATGGACTGCTGTTATCCTTCCCTTTTTGATTGACTAAATGACTTGTTTTAATGGAAATGCAGGAAGACAGTGTAGTTGTCGAGGATCCTTTCAATTTGCACCCACCTGATGAACACTTTGATGGGAAACGTGACAGGTGAACTAAGCAAGTGAGAGCTCCTAGGTTCTCTTCATAGAGAATTGGTTGCTGTAAATGTGGCCATCAACTCCTTCTGACTTGTATATTCTTAGTTTTGCTTATATTTTGGATAAACCTTATTATTATGAATATAGAAGTAGCATACTTTTATTCTTTTAACAAATAGGGTAATTTGAACATGAAGAAGACATTGTTCATAACTTGCTTTTACAGATTTTGCAATATTAATTGGTTTGGTCGTGTACCATTAGCATCCTACACTATCGCAGTTCAGGTATCCTATTCGTGTTCATAGACATTAAATGATTTTTCCCAGGGCAATAATAATGCCTTCTCTAATACGTTGGCAGTAACCTAGCATAAAAGTGGTCTTCCATGTGATTGTTTGTTCATATGCTAGCAATGGTGTATATAGTTTCCTTATTCCCAAACAATACAGGGATTTACATATGCACATGGTTAACAAAACTAATAGTGCCTAAAACTTAGGATTGATTATAATGAATGCCTGAGTTCAGGAACCTCATGAACAATATCTCACTAGCTTAACAGAAGAGCTCTTTTATTCGACTTTAAGGAGTTTAGTAGCTTCTAACCATTGCCGGAACACTTACCTAAAGGGGGGTTCGGGGGGTGAAAAAAATAATGTGAAATTTTTCGCGTTTACTTCTAGTTCCCCCCATATCTTATCATCCCGACCATTTCTAAGCCTGCGAAGGAATGGAATAGAGGGATGCCCTTATCCAAGTCGCCGAGTCGACAAAAAACAGGATTTATCTCATTTTATTGTCGTTACAGGGCTTCTTTGATCATTACGTCCATTTCTAAACTTGTGAATGAATGGAATAAACATGATGCCCTTATTTGAGTTAACTTTTCTCATCCCGACCATTCCTAAGCCTGCGTAAGAATGGAATAGAGGGATGTCCTTATTTGAGTTACCGTTGTTTGGAGCGCCCACTTCTTAATTATATCAAAACGCTCTTAACAAACAAGTCAATAAATCGAGGTCCTATAGGCTTTGGATACCGTATGGAGCCACGTCGATCTAGTATAGCATGGGCGCTACATTCCTTACAGGGGGCTGCCCACCTCCCCGTAAATGTAGATAACCCTTTTCGGTCCCTTACTTGAAGTAGAAAGATTTTATAGAGAGCGAACCTTGGCCCTGAGGGGCCCTTCCGCCCTGCTGGGCTCACCTTTCTTACTCCTTAAGCCGAAGAAAGGAGCTCTTCTATGAAGTGAAGAGCACCTTTTTCATTCCATAGGGATACTGGTGGTGAACAGAGAGAAGGAAGCCCTCGTTATATAACGTGGTCTCCCCTCCCTCTATCTCCCCCCCCTCCCCCCCCAAGGGGGACAAGGGGTAATGATCACATTACCGCAATGCAATCTATGACTTCCTCCGGAAGGGGTTATTGATTATAGGAGCTTCAGCTCCATATAATCTTATTTCTCCCTCGGACCCTAGGGATTATAATCTTTTTTTTTTTCTTCCAGAAGAAAGCTATCTACTTTTATGCAAGGTTATTTGCATTGCGGGTGACATTTCTATAAGCATGCTGATGCATAGACTTCTTGTTTTTATATACAGACTAACAGCACAAAATTTGCATGGGTCTGAAGCAATTGCATCAGAGTTTAGTAAGAAGCCTGAATACATGGCATCTGCTGCTGATCAAAGGCCTTCAGGTTCTATTAGGAGGGGCTCAGCTGGAGCTGTTGGATCTATGATGCTTCTGAAGTCATGTCAAAGCTTGCATGCCCCGTTCACTCAGGTTGTGTTGCATACCCGAGCCTTTTGAAATTCTTTTTTCTGCCCACTTCTCTGTTAATATGATTATAGCTATTTATCCTTTTCTCTTAAATTTCAGGATCCCCCCCTTATGACAGAAGATATGCATGAAGAACGACTTCAGGCTGTTGAGGCCTTTGGTGATACATTTGTAAGCTTAAGTTCTTCTTTTCCAAATTAGTTAATTTACAGGAATATGATTAATCCTTTTCTGCTATAGGGACTATCAATTTCCTACAGGAATTCTGTTAGTGTCAATTGTGGCTGAGACAATTTTTTTTTTGATAGTTTAGAAATTAGTGTTATATTTTTGAAGGATTTTGTGCTTGAGCTTTTTATGTCTAGTAGTGTATCAGTATGCTTAATTTTGTGCAAGTTTAGATGTAAATACATCTCTGCCGATAAAATACCCTGTTTATCATTCTTTCCTGATGGATAAAGCAACAAAGAAGTGGTCCCTATGATAAAATGGACCTTTCTTTTGTTTACTGGAATGAAAATTAAGCATGATAAAAGTTGTAAAGCAACTAATACTAATTTACACAGCAGCAGAGTGTCTTATGTGGACTTTGGTTTGATCAATTAAGTGAGGAACAAACCCTTAAAAAAGTTTGTCCATTGATTTAAATATTTGAAAGTGTTTAACTAAAATAGTGTTTCTCACCAGGATGAGAACAGTTATTCGTGTATAGATGTTATTCCAATTTAAAGTATTGGAAGTTCAATTTTTTAATAACATTTCCTTTTAGGGTATAAGAAGTTTAACTTGCTTTACTTTCTGCAAAATGATATTCACCTATGCATGTCGTTGTTCATTTTGCATTTTTAAAAACTGCCTGGCCTAGTCATCTTTTTTTTTTTCAGTTCTCTGGAATAAATTTATCTTTATCCACTAAAGCAGTAAACGCTCCATCTTATTGCAGAATTTTTCTGCTCAGTTGGAGAAGGATATCTTGTCATCAGGTGACAATTTTCTTTTATATGTAACTAATTTAACATCTAGTTTCTTCATGTATTGGAGTTTGATATGATGTTTCTATGTATAACTTTAATCTCAATGCTCTAAAGATCATTATACTGGAAAAGGAATATTGTTGTAGAATTAGGAAATGGAACAGACGGGGGAAATCGGACATTCTCATGTGGCTGCAAATGAAACAGACTTGGGGAAATTGGACATTGTCATGTGGCTGCTACATATATTTTGGATATTGATGTGAAAATGTTTTTGCTTCTTTTCACTTGGGGCTTTGGGGGGCTTCATATGTTAGGAAGTTAAAGGTATGAGGAACCAAAATCTTGAAAATCGTTGCTACATTGTGTGATTTAGACAAATTAGTATGGTTACCCTTCTAAGATAATAGGATCTTCTTAGGTGCTAAGATTATGGGATTTGACTTGTAATTAATTGACTTGATTAGCAAGATTCCATTAAGATAGTTTCCTATTTTCTGATGAGAGGGTCTCTCCTAATTTAGTTATGATATCTTGTTTTAGTACCTAAGGAGATCGAGTGTACAGACGTTATGCATCCTGTTTTGGAAATTAAACTTGTATATATTTACTCGTTTGTATTCAGAGTTCGATAAGAAAAAACAGAATATTTTCTTCAGTACTCATTAGACAAATAAGGGTAGCACTTCCAGATTGGAGTGTAAAACTAGTGCATGGTATAGTTTTGTGTACTGTAAAGAATACTAACTTTTGTACTTTCACCATTTTGCTTTCATGGCAATTGATCTCTAGCAAAGATATTTTCGAAAAGATTTGTGAAACTTTAGACACAAAATTCTTGTTTGTTGATACCCATAAGATGGATTAACTAATGATGATTTTAAATTTTTGTACAGATATGTCAGCATTTAAAGCAGCGAATCCAGATGCTGTTTTTGAGGATTTTATTCGGTGGCATTCACCTGGGGATTGGATAAATGATGAAAATGAAGGAAGTAGTCCATCTAGAAGTCTTGCAATGGGGAGTTTCAAAGATAATTGGCCTCCTAAAGGAAGACTTTCACAACGAATGGCCGAGAATGGGAATATGTGGCGGAAGATTTGGAATGATGCACCTGCTTTGCCAGCCTATGAGCAGAAGCCACTTCTGGATCCAAATCGAGAAGGGGAAAAGGTCAGTTTTTCTCTTCTTTTTTCTACCAAGTTTCACCTCTATTGTTGTTTTGCCTTTCCCAATGCCAAAGTTGACAGTGTTAATTGAAGTTCTGGATGGTCGGTATGCATTTTTGGTCATTTGGAAGGAAATTGTCGTATATTATTACATTTGCTGGACAATAGTTCTGTGAGATCAAGGCTTCTCTTATTCCTTGTACTGTATCTGTGGAGTGTTTTAGATATTTACTAATCTTTTTCACCAAAACAGACTGACACATAAGTCTAAACTATGTATAAATTAAGAAGTTAACTGTTGGGAGAGAGGTAAATAGAGAAATTGGTAATCCTACACGAATATAAAAGAAGATGCAGCTGGGATATTTTCCGTTGTGAAGGGGATATAGTTTTGTTGACTAAAATTTGAGTCTGGTATAGAATAGCAAACAGAGCAAAAATATTAATGCAGTTAAAATCTTACACTCCTTTGTAAGTCTAATTTAAGAATAAGGCACAGAAATCCCCCAAATTTAACTTACTACACAGAAGGTCTCCTATTTTAAGAATTTGAATAGAAGTTCCATACTTTTACATAAAAGTCACATTTGACTAGTAGTAATTCCACTAATTCTTTGTGTGCCACTTCAACATATTGTAAGATTACTAAAATATATTTAACTACCATTATGAGTAATATGTTACAAGGAATAATTGCTAACCTGAACGACTGGCCAGATAGCCACCTTTTCAAAAATATTTCATGCAGATTTGGACAATAGTCCTGGGAGTTTCTTCAGTTTACCTGATTATCAGAAATTAATCGCTAACTCTACCTTAATTTATGTTTTAACTTAACTATTATGGTTTTGGACTCTATATAGATTCTTCATTACTTGGAAACTGTGCGACCACATCAGCTGCTTGAGCAAATGGTTTGTACTGCCTTCAGAGCATCAGCTGACACTCTAAACCGAACTAGTTTTGGGGGCTTGAAGCAAATGACAGCAAAATTAGAGCAACTCTACCTTACAATGAAATCTGCACTGAGGCCTTTGCAAGGTCTTGCTTGTCATTATTCTGATTGTTCACTTAGGTTGTAAGGTTATGCTTTGCCAAATGCTCTGAAACTTTGGGTGTTGCAAATGTTGCAGTTAATCATTTATCTGGGAACAATGAGATTATTGAAGACTTGAGGCGGTTGTGCATTGTTTTTGAACATGTTGAGAAGTTAATGACTGTTGCAGCTTCTCTTCACCGTAAGTTCCTGCAAGCACCACGTCTTTCTGGAGTAATTTTTAATGACTTCTATGAATTTTATCTTCCAAACATGGGAATGGGCTCCAAGGAAGTCGATGTTCAAAGAGTAAGCTGTCTCTACTCCATACTTCTCCCGTAACCACTTGTTGAAAGTTTTCTCATGGAATATAATTTGTGAATCATTTGAGTCCTTTCCAAAATAGGAACTACACTTGGCTGAAATTTTAAAATAAGTTGGTTTGCAATGAACGAAGCATCCTGAATTTAAGACTCCATTACATAGTTCAGGGATTTTTATGTACAATTCCTTTCATTCCATCAAAAACCATGCATCTTTTTATGACTTCAGCTGATGACTACGTCTCTTTGATATTCGCCTTAGGAGTTCAACTCTAGGCAGGAAGTAAGGTTTCATGAGAGAGAGGTAGTCTCAGATATGTTCACACCACCAACTGCTAATCAATCATGGAGAAAAGTTTTGAGCATGGGTAATCTTCTCAATGGCCATGAACCGATTCTCAGGGAAATTATATTTTTAGTGCGTGATAGTGTGAGTAGCAATCACTATGCAGCAAGCACTCCCAGAGGAAATCAAGAAGAAATAGAAACATACCGGATGTATATTTGCGGAACCTCAAATGATCTTCGGGTAGCACTTTCTATTACCTCATGTGATTAGCCTTTTCTCAATAGATGTGTATATTATCACTTGTGGTGGATAAAGGATTTAAATTCTGACCAATTTTCTGAAAGTTACTGGTATTTATGGTGATTTTATGGCGCATTTCTATTGCATCCTCACTCCAGGCTGCAGCCATTTGTAAGCACATTGTGTTCATTTACCTTTCTCCAGAGTAGAAATTACATAATTGCTTGTTAGAAGAGTAGTTTGATTGTATTGTATTCATTTATGTGCAACTAATGGAATTGGATTACTCAGTTTTAACTCAGAAACTATCGCTGGTTCTTTTCTTTTTCTTCGTAGGCCGTCTAAGCGAGAGCTAAATCGCTTTTTAATAATTTTCTCAATCAGGATATGGACTTGGTTAATTTGATTTTACATCTCTGTGCGATATGAAAATTTATTTAATTCACTTATATGTTTTGGTTACCTGTAACCTAGAAAAACACAGGCATGATAATCATACAGCTTTGTAGAATATGACTATTTATTTATTGACAGTTGATATATTCTAATTGCTTAATTGTAGTTATACAGGTGTATTATAGTAATAGTATTCTCATGACACTATAGCCATATCTAAGAAATGTTCATTAAAAATTTATGTTGTGTAATGATATAAGTTTATAATGCATTTGTATCATGTCCCTGTAATTAATTAATACA